GGCTCAAACTCGATACCCCGGAAAAAGCACGAACACGCCGGTGGGAGCATGTTTTGAAGGGCATGGTCTGTCATGGGGGGGCGGGGGGGTGACCATGTATATATATATATATATACAGAGAGAGAAAGAGAAAGAGAGAGAGAGAGAGTGAGAGAGAGAGACAGACAGAGCATGCTTCGGGCTTCACTCTCGCTCCGTTTGCCGCTCCTTGAACAAGCTGTCGGCTGTCGTTCAATGGCTTGTAGGAGTCGCAGCAGCTCGTGAACATGTCCTATATATGTCCTCTACAGTGTGATACGGCAATCAAACCCTGTGGCTGCGGGCAAGGGAGCCAGAAGCTCGGCTCGTCGTGGTCACACTGCAACACAGGGCGACGCAAGGCGAGCTGCGCTTTTCATCGAGAGGAGCACAGGTCATCAGTCCAGCGCAGAGGAGGAGAAACATGGCTCTGGCTTCCAGCTCGAGCATGAAAAAACTACCATGCAAGCGAACCAACGGGCTCAAGAGGCATCGCCACGAGTCCTGAATTACGAATTTCCGAATTGGTCCTGCAGCACAAGCGTCACTGGAGTCGATATGCTGATCGTCGAAGTTCCTGTGTACATGCGGCCTCGACACCCACGCAGGTCGACCGAAACCACACCAGGCTCAGGTTTCTCACCTCACGCAGTAGCTCCACATCGTACACCTCGTAGACACGACGCCGCTGCTGCTCCCTCTCCTCAGCGCGACGTGTGGCTGCTCTCCCTCCGCCGCTGGAAGCGGAACGAGCACCGGGCGCTGCTGACACAGCGCTCGGCGAGGAGCAGCACCTCGGTCGTCATGTCTCGTCTTGTCTTGAAACTTCTACGATTCCACATTGTGAAAAGCTTGCCAAGAATGGAACCGAAGTACATGCCGGCTGCAAAGGGAAGCGCTTCAGCCTGTTGCACAGCCGACCCGTGAGCGGTCTGGATCCGGTGAGCTTCCAAGCTGAGGCAGCAACCATGTTCCTCCGGCAGCGGCAACCAACATTGGTAGCTCACGCTTTTCCCCTACAGATGGGAAGCAGTAGACCTTCGAGCATCAGCCCAGTATGGGGGCGGGGCTTGATCACAGCAAAAGCACGGACATGAAGTGAGGAGGTCTGTGTCTTGGCCGGCTGCCGACATCCCCTGCAGGAGCGGGCCATTCTGGCGCGCACGCTGAAGAGCTGCCGCCAAGGAGTATCCTGTGGATCCGTGGTACACCAATGCGGTGTTGCTTTCGCTATTCCGCAAGTAGAACTCATCACCCAGCAGACTTGAGGGAAGCAAAAACAGCCACAAAGACATGCAGGGTTGTATTTGCGGTACTCCGTGCAGTTCTTGCACATTGTCTCTGGGACAACATGTAAAGAGCGAGTGCTTCCCAACTTGAACACGAACCGGACTGACCGCGGAATCCGGATAGATATTGGGATCCGACGCTGTGGCGTCGTCATGTCCAAGTAGCGAGATATGGTCACAGCACTGTGGCCTACCCTTCCAACACAGAGACATGCAAGAAGGCGGGCAAGGCCATAATCAGGTTAGCTGTGCTTGGACTCGGCTTGATTTTCGAGTTGGCGACCGAAACACAAAGCGAGCTCCCCCAAGAGTCGCGAGATCCAAGAAAACAGCAAGTCTCCAACACTAAAACTGATTCTTCAAACGGATTCATGCACGGACGGGCTGGGCAAACACACAATATGTGCGATCCTGCTTCAGTTCTTGGAAATAGGTCCTGACCCTGGTCACACCGACAAAGCTATGCACCTCAAGCACAAAGCTTGTCTATGTGAGATCATCAAACAAGAAGCGATCCCAAAATACAAGGGAGAGGCAACAAGAACCATAGCAAGCATTCCAGCAAGCCCAAAACTGAGGAGGAGAGGCCTAGCGAACAGAAAACTACAGCAAAGAGGCTAGTCATGTGCAGACCACGCAGACAGGCAGAAAGGTCCACAACATAGCGGCGATGATGCAAAGATAGCACCCAATGAAATGCCGCTCTCATCCCGCTCTTGGATTCAAAGAAATGACCGGGAGCCTTGTGAGATCCCCCTCTTCCGAGCAAAGGCGGCTTCGCACACCTCATCCTGCACGAGCTTTCAGAGAGCAAAGCCGGCCGGCCGAGCTTTGTGTCCTTGAGAAGAAACGCAGCTTCGTCCACGAGCCGACCAGCCTGGCACATGCGAACTCCGTGCATCAGACAAGCATCATGTGCCCCTTTCGCCGAACTCGCTGCCGTTGCACCAGGGCCGTTCCAATTTAACAGCTGCTTAGGAACCTTGACTCGACAAGAAACCGCAGACCGCTCCGCACGAAGTTAGCTGCAATCCTTTTATGGTCACAGCCCAAGCGCGGGCAAATCCTAAACGGGACCAGTCTAACTCGGCTTTAGTAGAACAATCTAAACTGGGATCCAGCACAGCGCATTGTAGCAGACCCTTGTAAACCCCTTGTACGACCATGAAAATGCCCTCAGAACACCCTATCAAGACATTACAAGACCATCGTACGATTAGCATAAGCCTCTCTAAACTCTTTTCGAATAAGACTCCCGACACAGTGACAGAGGCCTCTCGGCAGGCCTTCACCTGCCATGAGCCCATGCAAAGACCACTCAGCACACGAAAAGGGTCCTGTGGCTCTGGATCTTCGGTGCTGGGGACACCATGACTCTTTGTTTTGTTGAAGGCCTTTCAAAATCCTGACTCCCTTGGTTTTGAGAGTGTAAAGTGACTGAGTTTTGAGTCTGCATGTTGCTCTCGACTCGGTTACTCTCATGCGAGTATGATTAGGAACATTATTGCTGTTACTACTTCGCAAGAATGACAAGCTACTACTTGTAGCGCTTTTTCGATCGCATGTGCCGTACAGAAACGAACAGGGAACCACTGTGTGTCGCATATTGGGAACACTGGCGAAAAAGGCTGATGCTCGTCCTTCGCATCATTACTGTCATGTTCTGTTACTACACTATCATCAAGAATGTTTATTTCGACCACGAATTCTAAACAGGTTGACATGCCGGCGAGACATATTCTGTCGAGAGGACGTGTGCGCCAGTGCAGATGGCACACATCATCTGGCCAAGATTGAAACCAGATGGGCATCTGTATGATTTGCAAGATGGTTCCAAAAAGCTTTGCAAGCATCAATGGCAATACATTAGTTCATAAGTAGCAATCAAAAAATCCGGCAGCCACAGACTGGGCTCACGACAGTTCCTGAACAAAAAACGCAGCCCACATGCCCACGGGCGGTTCGAAACGTGTTGATCCAGGCAGACAGAACAGGCCATGATGATAAAGAACCACACACCAAACCCAATCAGCAGGAGAAAGACTGTGCAACCCGCACGTGTTGTCAGTCTCTGAGGCCAGAGCTCAGCAACAAGCTCTCTGCACGGCTCGGGGGAAAAAGGGGAAGCGACAACAAGGAGTGAAAGACAGGAGTGGAACGACGCGGAGACGAACATCATCATTACCATCACTACCGCCATCATCATCAAAAGCACGCGCAGCAGCATCTGCAGCAACGTCTGGACGTTGTAGAAGTATGAATTACAAGGCCTGACTCATTGTACTCTTGACAGAAGCCCCTCATGCAAGACAACAAAAGCGGAATTGAACAACAGTAGACAAGTGGAAGGTGCTGATCAAACAGAATAAATGGAATCACGACATTCCAGCGACTAGTCAAGGACCGTTGAGATTTTGATGACGATACAGGAACGAAAGTAGCGCAAACAAGAACAAAGAATCGAATCAAGATTGCCAAGAGATGACGCCAGCAGCAGCAGCAACAACAGCAGCAATAGCGGTCAACAGAAACGATGGCAGCAGCATCACCGGTCTGACTTGAAGAAAAAATCCAAATCCAACGGTAACGCTCACTGGGCGTCGTCGTGGTTGTCGCTGTCGTTGTCGGAGATTGCCAGCAGCAAGCGAGAGTAGGATCAACAGTCCGACAACACAAAGCCTTCGTCGTCCGTCGGAAGGTGTCCGCGATCAGGTGCCTAGACTGCTCTGAACTCCAGAGCTCCATAGCACAAGGCGGACTTAAGAATCGCCAGGCGGCGAGACATGTGGATTCCATTCTGCAACCTGGATTGCCAGTCGCTTTCGCGATGTGCACACGGCCAGCCTCTAAAGGCATCTTATCAGCAGGTAAGCTTGTCGCCATCAGTCCCTGCAGATCGAGCAAAAACTTTTGCTGCCTCCAGGGGCGACAAAACATGCGATCAGGTCTGCTTCAGACATTCTGAAACCGGAGGCACAAGAGACTCGACACTTGGAAGATTGTGAATGAATGTCTGAAGATCTGACGAGCCTGGTTGAGAGCTCAAGACCTGTGGTTGCCTCTGCAAGGAGGGCGTGTTGCGAGCGACCGCCCCTTCAAAAGCAACAAAACACGAGTGCTTCGAGCACCAAGTGGCAAAGACCGGCCGGCCGTTCGCAGCCGCCACCGCTGCTTCTGCTGGGTTCGCGAAGGCCGTGTCCTTCAGAGTCCTGGCTGAGTTGCTTAGGCGATGCACGCGATACATGCTGGACCTGCGGATGCCCGCGGCCTCAAAGACTTCGGTTGCGGGGTCTCCTCCACGACATCAACGTAATCAGAACCCTACCGACTGGACTCGGCAGACTCGTTCAGCAAATCCTTGGAGGCAGCAGCCTTTCGACATTTGTTGGAGGGCTCCTCTGCACTTCTGAGATAGAGATATCCAACAGGAATCTCGTTGCTCCTGTCTTGACGGCGCCGCCCGCTTCTTCGACCGGTCGGGAGCTTTGGACTGGGACGGAAAGCTCATGCACTCATGCCCAGACGCCATGAGATTCCAAATCCCCCCTTATCGCCCACCTCACTCTCCTGGGCCTGTGAAGGGGTCGGCCTCGGGTGAGCGCAGCTGGCGCTGGGCCCCCGCGGTCGGCCCCCCTTCCACCCGGGCCCGTGCCTGGCTGACGAAAGCGCCGCGCCGGCACGCCGAGCCTTGGCCTGGGCGGCCTGCGCAGCGCCGAGCCCGCCGAGCCCGCGCAGAGCCCGCAGAGCCCCCTCTTCGCTCCCACGCCTTCGGCGCCGGCGCCTTCCCCGGGGTCAGCCTGCTCAGAGTTTCAAGGGAGTCCTCGCTTGCTGTTGCAACGCTTGGCCTCGCTGGCGCCGTCGCACGGCGTCTCTTGATACGCTTCGCCAGAGGAGCATCCGAATCGTCGTCACTGATTCCCCTGAACATGAGCATGCAGCCCCAAGCACGCGCACACACACACACACACACGCGCGCGCGCGCAGTCCTCTTGCTTTACTTCCATGTTGTCAGCATCCTGCCTTCGCACTTCCAGCATACTGGCTGAAACCTTGAATATGCACGTTCTTTTTCAGCCGACTTGAACAACGAGGAGTGCCAGTGCTAGGCTCCTTGCTTCCGAGTCCGCGTGCCGACCCTGCTTGCCTGGCCATGCAAGGACTCTCACAGCATGCCGCACAGCGACAGGCGCACGGTGCGCCTTTCTTCTTGACCTCCAAGGCTTCGGGCGACGGGGCGGTGCTAGCTGGACCTCAAGAAGCCCAGACCCGCAGCCGCGAGGCGTGCGCTCTGCCGCTCTGCCGCCTGCGGGCGTCAGGGCCACGGGGCCTCCCAGCTCGGCGGGAAGCGGCCTGCCCAGTGCTCTGCTACTCGGCCGCCCGGCCCAGGCAGTCTGATGCCTCTTTTTTGCTGCATGCGCTCTGCTCTTGCCACGAGATCGCTCTCTCGGTGCTCGAAGCACTGTATGCAAGGGGACGTTGTCCAGGAAGCCATTGAGCTCCGCCCTCCCAGGCAGTTCCGAAGCAGGGCCGGACGTCGAGGCCTGTGGACTCTGGCCCCCCTCGCCTGACCACAGCCTCAAGAGCTTGCACCACTGCTTCTTGCTCCGTCGGGAGCCGCTCCTGCAGTAAGGTCCTCCATTGCTCTGTGCTGCTCCGCTTTGTCCACACGGGACGGTGGAAGGGCTGGGGGATGCCAGAATGGACCTGCATGCTTCGCCGCAATGGCTAAGTTGTCAGCCCACCACTGAGCACTTCGGAGAAATACCTCCAACCCACAGTGAAAAGCGAGCCCTGCACGCCTGGGTCCCAGTTGGCTGCTCGAAGCGTAAGTACTCATTGTTCGCTTCAACCTTCTTGCAGCCGTGTCTCCGTTGGCGAAAATGCGAGTCTTCAGTCCACGGGACCAGAGTCCCATCAAACCCTCCTTTTGAATAATGCCATGGGCCTCACCAACAGCAACACATGCACCAACAGAGAAGACTCTTTCAAGCAGTCTGACCTGCATCGCGCGAACCAATGCAAGAAACCAAGTGAGCAAGTCCAAACACAGGCGGGATGCTGCTTCGAGGTAACCTTGAGACTGGCTCTGTACTCTGGCATTCTATCGTTTGCCAAGGATGCACGCTGCGGATATCTTGCAAGCCAAGGGGCTGATACGGCTCAGTGACGTCTGCCGATTCACCTTCAGGACTCGGATGGGGTTACAGATTGTGTCCGCCACCACCGACGAGGTGAAGCCAATGAAGGCATGCCGGACATGCTTCCCATACCTCACTGTGCCGGTGAAAGAGGCACGGACGGGAGTTGTGAGTCTGCGGGCTACAACTTGCCGGGGCCAGCGACCCGAGAACTAAAGATATCTAAGAGTAACTAAGGGTTGAAGCAGACCAGCCTCATCTCGAAGGGAGGAAGAATTTCGCGAAGCAGGTTATTCGTGTAAAACCACCTTGGTTCGGTCTGTCTTGCGTGCAGCTCAAGCAGGACCACCTCGTTGCACCCCATCAGATGTAAGACAGTGCAAAGATGTGCCGAGGGACGGGTAGTGTCCAAAGGCTCCTGTAACCAAGACACCCAGGCCACCATGCCAAAGTGACAAGGGGTTCACTGTCGCCTGACGCATGAGACTTCAGAGAAGCCTCCCGAACAGGTCGAATGGCAACCAGCTTTGCCCCGGGCCTTGCGCACGAGAACCTGCAAGCCGGCCTTGAAATATTGACAACGGGAAACAGGCTGTGATGCTCTGGACAGACGAAAATCATGCGCCTTGCCGTGAACCTGCTTGTTCACCTGAACATCCAACACTTCTCGGAGGACGTGGAAAACAAGAAAATTTCCGAGCCTTCCATGCATCCAAAGGCAGAATGACCACGCGAAAAGTGGCCGCCGTCACAGAGGCGCCTGACAGCGTCAACACCGAGCCTTGGGCTGGGCGCCGGGCCTGGCGAACTGCTGGTAGTTGAACAGTGAACCGGGGGGGGGGGGGTGCTCGGGTGCTCCCATGCCAAGACGCAGAGCGTCTTCAGCGCCAAGGGCATCTCCACTTTCGCCAAGCCTCAGGCTGCGCTAGGCTGCACTATACTGCACTTGCAGGCAGAGCGCATCTGTGAGAGAAGAGACGTCTGATGATTCGCACACGCTTCTTCTGTCCAATTGCAAGGCGGAGGTGCTCGAGAGCGCTAGCTCGTTCGCCGCCTCTGCCACCAAGCAGGGAATCTCTCCGCTCTGTGCAAACGCTGCATCTGAGGTGCGGTATCTCCAAATCTTGCTGTGGGAGCCAGAATCAGCGCTGGCCTAAGCGCTGAACCCGTCCCAACATTCAGGAGATGATGACCCTGCCACACTGGTGCCACCCAGCAGCATCAAGCCTCGGTAGAACCGCGCAACTCCACCTTCGCGATAAAGAGTTCGTGCCACCTTGACGGTGCCTTCACCATTCTTGTACTGGTACTCCATGATGGTCCGCAGCCACATCAAGGGAAAGACGTACATTACCTGGGCACATCCTCCTGCCACACCACTGATAACGGCGGCATTGAAGGTGCGCAACACGTGGGCATCTGCTACTTCTGCCATCACCAGAGTCGGAGATCCTCACACTCCCACATTTGTGCATCAGCATAAGGACGTGAACTTGTGAGCCAAAACGCCAAACTCCGGTGACATCTGTCTCTCGTCCGACAACGAGAGCATCCTGTGCTTATTGAAGGACGCAGGCTAGTCTTCCACGCACAGCATAGTTCTTCCTTGCGTGTCTGCCTGACCGGTGTGCGAGTGCATCTGTGTTCGTGTCCATCTTCGTGCTATCTTGCTGCCGTATGCGCTGGTGGTCTAGGGCGCTGTTTGGTGCTGGCATGGAGGGCAACTGCCACCAAAACTGCTCAGCAGCACTACCCTGGCTTCTATACATGTCTTGGTTTGCAAGCTTCTTTAGAACTGCCCCAAGCATCGTCTTTGGTCTGTCGAGATCAGGATTGGGTTATTGAGGCCCATTAAGCATTCATTTCCATCTGGGTCTTATGTTCGACTGGTCCGAAATCGATTTGCGTGGAAAACACGATCGACATCGATATGTATGTGTATATATAGATATACATATATATTCATGTGTGTTTGTATGTATAACTACATATATATACACATACATATATACACAGACATACATACATACATACATGCATGCATACATACATACATACATACATACATACATACATACATACATATGTGCGTGTGTGTGTGTGTGTGCGTGTGTATGTATATAT